ACTATATACAGGGTGATTCACATAAGAACCGACACAGAGCAGGGACATGTAGAGGACAATAAATTAAGATGATTTAATGTAACTTATCACTATACCAAGTTGTACCCCTGAGGAGTTATAGGCCTTCAAAATTGGGTCTTAAATTTTTAAAACATTGAATAATTTCGTAATACATAAAGCTAAAAAAACCAAATTTGGTTTACGTTATGAGTGTACCGAGGGTATTAATTGGTAGCAGCAAGTTGAGACCAATTGAGGCATTTCAAAGGGTTGATTAAGGGTGATGGTTACCTAAATTTTGGCAGATTTTTTTAATCTTTTTGTGGATTTAATACATTATTACCTGATTTCATGTGGAATTTAATTTCTCTTACTATTTTTTAAAAAACATTGTCGTTTTCATAAAAAACTCAAAAAACTAAAGTCGCGTATCTTGTTAATGCTACTGAAAATCATCGAAAATTTAGTAGTCGGCTGTGAAATTGTACGTAATTTGAGGAATAAACTGTTTATTATGAGCTAAAAAGACATAATCCATAAACAAATTTAATTTAGGCATAATAATTTTCTAGTGATAAAGAGAAAATCCCCAAAATGTAATTTTTGGTTTTAAAATCGATCATAACTCAAAAATGAAAGGTGATGACGAAAAATTTTTTAGGAATAAATTGTTTATTATGAACTAAAAAGATATTATTGATAAACAGATTTTGTTTAGATGTAATGATGTTCTAGTGATAAAGAGAAAATCCCCATAATGTCAAAATTGAGTACTTTTGTTAACAAAATCGATCATTATCCAAAAATTAATTGTGATGGAGATAAGTTTTTTTGAAATAAATTGTTTATTATGAACTAAAAAGACATCATCTATAAACAGATTTGGTTTAGTTATAATGATTTTTTTAGTGATAAAGAAAAAATCACCAAAATGTCAAAATTGAGTACTTTTGGTATTAAAATAAATGATAACTCAAAAATTAAAGGTGTTGGAGAAAAGTTTATTTGAAATAAATTGTTTATTATGAACTAAAAGGACATTACGCATAAACAGATTTGGTTTAGTTATAATGATTTTCTAATGATTAAAAAGAGAAAATCATCGAAATATCAAAATTGAGTACTTTTGGTATTAAAATTGATCATAACTCAAGGATGAAAGGTGATGGAGAAAAGTTTTTTANTATGTATCATTAATATAATCATGGATGGTGAGTGAGTTGTGTATTCTGGAGTGTTTTATAATGTTTTCCTCCAACTCTTCAGTTTTTTTGTTTGCTGATTTCAATTGAATCGTGGGTAAGCCTTCTATAGGTTTTGTTGGACGTTTCTTGCACCTGAACGACAATGCTTGATGGCCCATTTCCCCGCATCCTATACATTTTTCTGGATTGTTAGTTGAGCACTTGGCTGTATTGTGATCACCCTGACATTTGTTGCATTTAACCTTTTCCTTACAGTCTTCGGTTTTATGTGTAAAAGCTGAACATTTGTTGCATGGAATTGGAGCAGGTGGAGGCGCGTTACTTTCGATAACTTCGTAGTGTTTGTACATGAAATAAATTCCCTCCCTGAGTAATGTCTAGTATGATTTGTGATCGTTCGTTATTATTCTCACTTTACGTGTAGGTTTGTCTGTAGGTCTTGAAATAATTCTTTTACAATACCAATGAATGATATTTTTCTGTTAAGGTATGTGCTTATATCATTATCTTCGATGTCTATTTCTAGATTACAAATAATGGCTGAGAAAGAGTTTTCCGTATTTCTACTGATATACTCAGTGAATGGTTGACTTTTCTTATATTCTGCAATAATACCTCCACTCAATAGCATATCAAGAAGTTTCTGTGTTTGTTCAATGTTTTCATTAGTTTTTAAAAGGTATCCGTTTTTTGTATAAGTTATTACGTCCATGCTTTGTACGTTAAACGTGAGTTGAGCTTTAGCCCATTGTGTAGCTAATTGATTTCGTGTTAATGTTTTATCTTTAGGTGTTACTTCAAAGATATTGATTAGTTCTTTATTAATTTGTTTCATCTTGTCTTTATGTGTATAGTAGTTATTAGTGTTTGTGTTTGTATAATATTGTATGTTAGAATTTTTATCTGTTTTGGTACAACGTTCATTAGTTGGATTTTTAGGTATCGCAAATAACTTGCCTTGACTATTTGTGTTTTTACGAGGTGATTTAAAAAATTTTGATTCGGCGGTTTTCTTTTTATGGCGAGTTAGTTAAATGAAAAAAGCACCAGATTTTTGAGGGTGCGATAAATTTTGTCCACTTTACGATTTCTTTTTTCTCAAAAACTATCCGATCAAAAAATTTCGAACTTGAACAGGTGGTAGAATGGTGTGCTCCTAATAAGGGGCATATTTTATTTTTTCGATATTCCCTTTAGTAGGTTTAGTAGGATGCGGTTATGTTGAAAAGGGCTGGGTGGATAAACACTATTTAAAATATCAAATTTTCTTGTTATATATATGACAATATATTTTCTGGTTCCATTCACAAAGATTTTTCAGTCAACCTGTCCCAAGCTGTTCAAATTGTAGAAACAGCAATAGAGGTCGCTCTCCTGTTAGATATCGTTCATCTTCTAGGTCTCGACCTTTAATTATACGGGGTGTCCCACCTAAGTTGCCTCGGTCCATAGCCGAATTATGATTGAGTTTTTCAAAAAATGTTTCAAATAAAAGTTGAATNTAAGATTTTTAGTGATAGTTTAATACACATGTTTGTGTGCAGTATTTTACTTAGTATTATTTATCTTGAAAACGAGTGGTCGTAGACTAACGGTTAAAATAGTGAAAAGATCAAAGCAAAACAAACTATGGGAAATAAATTGCGCCCCCTATCTCTTATTTCCGCAACTGCACATTCCTTCTAATTTTTTATTCGATTATCGTATTCGCCCCGTAAAACTAGCTGGATATGCAAAATTTCGTGTTTCTAACCCTAGTAGTTTTTGAAATAATGAGAAATAACCTCATATTGAACGTCTTCTTCAAAGCGCTCTACCTCCCTTAGGAAGCATTTTAGGACACACCTTTATATGAACTTTTCTTCATGATTTTTTATGTAGAATCACACTTTTCAATATATGAATGCAATTTCCGGGCACCTGTATATATGACAATATATTTTCTGGTTCCATTCACAAAGATTTTTCAGTCAACCTGTCCCAAGCTGTTCAAATTGTAGAAACCGCAATAGAGGTCGCTGTCCTGCTAGATATCGTTCATCTTCTAGGTGTCGACCCAAAAACATTTGTTATTTTAACACAATAAATATAACAATAATGCATTAAACTGTGGGGGTCCTTGGTGTACTCATTTTGCATCATTTACATCTAAACAAAATCAAAAAAACTAATAAACGTTTCAACTTCAAACAGTAATGATTTGACATCTGCTAAACTTTTTCGTCTTTTTATATTCTATCATTCAAATAAATTAAATTTTTTGATTGATACTGGGGTAGATATTTCGGTAATTCCGAGAAATACGTTTGCGGATTTTAAAAGGGATAAAGACACCTTTTTAACAGCTGCAAATGGATCAACAATTCCAACGTATGGAAAAAAATTATTGAAAGTTAATTTAAACCTCAGGACAGTTTTTCCATTCGTTTTTACTATCGCAGTGTTTCTCGACCAATCATTGGAGAAGACTTTTTATCCCATTTTGATATTAAAAATCATCGATTAATTGATTCTAAAACTAAACTAATTTCTATCGGCTCCATAACCTGTTCATCTATTCCATCCCCACAGCTGTTTGTTGTTAAAACGAGATACACCCAATTAATTAAGAACTATCCAAATTTGATTTCTACATCTAATTTCTCTTCTCCAATAAAACATTCCGTCCGTCATCATATTATTACTGAAGGACATCTTCCTTTTTGTCGCCCTCGTCGGCTAGACGCTAACAAATATAAAATTAATATTTATTTGGTTAATTCTTTCCATCTCAATTTTAATATAATTGAAATAAAACTATGTGTATTTATAGATGGATGGTTTTTTTAATTGTCGGCTCTACCGATTTCGATTGTTACATTAAATCATCTTCAGGAGCTTTATTTTTAAGAAACATATCTTGTTTATTATTTTAGCTGTTATCTATATATACACGCCATGTAAAAACGAAAAGAAACACATGGCGTGTAGTGGTGCAAAGAAATCTTTTTGAGTAAATTAACAAGGTAACAAAGAGAAGAAAAAGTAAATAATAATCAGAATCAAGAAGATGACCTGACTATGTTAACAAAATCATAAGTTAAGTCCTCACGAATAATCATTCTAGAGCCTTTCAGTTTCGCTTTGGCCCTATAAATATCGTTACGTAGCGATCTTCGACAGAATTTAACAATAATAGGCCTGGGCTTCTTATCATTCGGTCTAACAGGTCCAATGAAATAAAAAGCGTAATATACGATTTTTTACGCTTTTCCGTGAACCGTAAAAGACCGACTGTTTACGCTTCACGGAAAAGCACCGTTTCACTTGTTAATTTCTTTTTTTATCCTTTTTTCACAATTTTTGTTGATTTTTTCAATTAACTGTTTCATTTTGTTTCATTAATTTGTTTGCTTCCTTTTTACGATGATCCTTGTTTAGAAACAAGGATTATCGTAAAAATTCGTAAATTATTACGACGCGAATATTGTTCATGTTCCTCCAAAAGGTACGTGTGTTTTGACAGTTGCTCCTCCAGAACAACGGTCCGCTCTTCTAAAGAGACCACTTTTTGAGCTCTGTGAACCTGGAACCCGAGTTTACGATATTTTGGTTTTATTAGTACCATTCGATAGAGAAACGTTTGTACTCGTTTGTACCACCTTTAATTTCGTTTACACCTCAGGACCTAAAGAGATAAAAAAATTTTGAAAAATTGCCGGAACCCCACTTTTTGATATTCTAATTTTATTAATACCATTAGGTAAAGATACCCTACGACAAACCAAAGATACCCTCTTTGGTTTGTCAAACAACACAGGAAAATGTAAAATAGCACTCTTAACAACTGGTTCAGAAATTACAGGTCCACGTAAACAACGGAAACAACTGGTTGGCTGACACCAACTGTGGTTCTATCCTGTGGATTACGTGATTGCTTACTATACATTATGCTGGACTGTTGAAGTCAACTAAAGCGATTTGTCGCAATAAGGTTTATAAATACGTGTGGCTGAAAAATTACGTCATTCAAGTAAGTCGGGATAATCAAGCTGGTCGGTCTGAAGCTGATTTGTTAAAACTTATCTTATTGTTAAATCTTAGAAGATCTAAGATATTGACCTTGAGAGATTATAATACTTATTTAACTAATGTACAATCTGACTTAATAAATCATCCGGCTCATCTTTGGTCATATGCAGGGAGTAAAAAACGTGGCAGTGACCAGCTCGTATGGTATATGATGGTTATTCTACAGTTGAAAGACACCAAATTGTCAAGATATTCTCTGAATTGTTTAGTTACAATTTTAGGAAACACACTCATATCTAAACTAGAAGGGTACCATCAGTTGGCTATAATCGTGGTAGAATCATATTTCCGACAGAAGTTTTTTAGGTAAAATATCAAGTAAATAAGTGATGATTTAATGACTTAATAATGATTTAATTATAATCTATATTTTATCACAATAATCATTGTTAACGTAATGACGTAAAAATAACATTAATACCTCTTGTATTGTTCGTGATTAAAATTAATTATTCATTGTTAAATAAACTAAAATCGCGATTATTGATGTAATTCCAACATTAACAAAATTGCGATTTTTTTATTTAAGAAAAGTTTGAAGTATATTTACTATTTACTTATAATGTTGTGTCGTAAAATAATATTTTATAAACGTTTTAGATCTACCCAACTTGACAAAAATGGCACGCTATAATCACATTGCAACAGCTCCACTTTTATTCCTGATTATAATCATGTTTTTTTCTCAAATAATTCCAAGTAACTCGAGATCAATGAGAAGAAAGAAGGCCCGAAACGCTGATTTAGACATATCGGAGCTTATGGAAACTTACAGAAATCCTTGTCCGGAAATGTTCGAATATGAACAAGTAGACGACAATCTCTGGAAAGGAATAATAAGAGTTGCGAAAGATCCCCAAAGTGAACCTAATATTCTAGACGTGACAATGATGGTTTTGGGAATGGACCCTATTGGAGAAATGCTTCGAGTAGATTATGTAGGACCGGAAGATGACTTATTAGTATATGAACTTATGCTTCCGGTATCAAGTATTGAAGATTGGGCGATGCTTGAGCTAAGTGTAAATAATGAGATCGTTTGTAAATCCGGCATGGATGATGGTGAGTACTTTTAAGATGGGGAATTCATAATGAGAAGATTTTATTTATTTCAGAAAGTCTGCCTATGACTCGTGCGTACTTCAGATCTAGAGCGATTGCAACCAAAAGCGCACGAAGCTTGAGGAAGGCTAAAAGAAATAAAAGTAATATACAATTGAAGTATTGATTCAATTTGCTTAAAATCAATGTTTTGTAGATCGACGACGAGGGAGGAGATACTAACACAAGAAAGCAGAAAAGGGAACTAGAATACCATCAATGATGAAATATATAATATAATAATGCTACAGTGACTGTTGTTAAAAAATTCAATAAACAAAAATTATTACGGCAAATTTGTTGTTATCTACGAATAGGCTGATAACATTTAATCATTAAAACAGCTAAAAAACACGTTTAAAAGTTCTAATACGATTATGACCACTAAAACTTTTGACTCAGTTTTAAACCTGCTATGTACATAATGTAAAACTTTGATTATTTTGAAAAAATCTGCAAAACTGATTGCAAAGTCGCTGGAGCATTGTGTGAAGCAGCACATACGCGTTTAATTATGGCAGTACTTTATGCTTAGTTGGCAATGACATCCCATCTTAACCGCATGTTAAAAATGCCATTGATTCCTTCAGCAAAGCTTATCACGACAAAAATATTAACATTTTCTCACATTTCATCCCATTTTTTCACTTTCATGTTATAAATGGCAGATATAAGCAGTTTATTGGTACTTTTAAGTTCCTATGACTCACGTAGTGAACGTCTGGATTACACCACCTAACTCTGGTAAAAGTTCTTCTTTTTTATAAACATATTTCAAAGGGCTGCAACATCGCCAGTCCACCAGAAAACTATTGATTGATTGGTTTGAGTTACTCTTTTCATTGACAGTGAAGAGTTCCACAACATCTTCAGCCGGGCTAATCATGCGTGTCTGAGAGTATTGCGATGGAAAAAGCAACTTCATTCAGTTTTGTAGCGTTTTGCAGGTAAAGTCACTAAGTTGTATCGAAACGTGACCCAATTCTAAGTGGATGGCTTTGGTAACAGTACAAACAAATACACATACGTATGATTTGAATGATTTTGCTCCGCGATGTCTTCTAGTTATTGTGGTAAAAGGGCCGACATAATCGATGCCCACTGAAGAACATGCCTTCATCTGATTGATGCGAAACCCAGGCAAATCAGCCATCAATGGATTGTATGACTTGCGACGTACCTTAAAACATTGGATACAACGAGAGATAACTCGATTTACAACGTGTCTTGGAGAAAGAATCCAAAATTGATTATTTATAATTGAGCACAGTGTTTTAAATCCAAGATGCAGATGTTTCCGATGGATATCCTCAACAATGAGTTCACTCAATCGATAATTGCTGGGTAATAAAATGGGATGCTTTGCATCATAAGGCAGGTCTGCAAATTTAAGCCGTCCACCAACTCGAATTAATTTATTGTCATCAATAAATGGTGCTAGCTTCCTATATGACTTCGAAATGGGTTTGTTTGTTTGTAGATTTTTGTATGAGTCCCCAAAGTGCTCTATTTGGACCTGTCGAGCAATAAGATGCAGAGCCCGTTGTTGTTCAAGTTCAGTGATTGTTACAGAATAAAATTGCTCTGTATTACGACAACCTAAAACAAATCGCAAGACATAAGATATAATATTTTTTATCTTACCCAAATTGGAAAATTGATTTAACAATGTAAGTAGAAAATTCTGAGGTTTTTTGAGTACAGTTCCCAATGTATTTTGGTTTTCCTCCTCGGCGACCTCTTCAGAGCATATGTTGAACGATTGCGACGGCCAATGGGAAGGTGATAGTGCTAACCATTCCGGTCCATGCCACCACAACTCACAATGAACCATCTCCATTGGAAGAAGTCCTCTAGATCCTGGATCCGCAGGGTTCTCCGAGGATGGTACGTAATGCCAATGATGCCCTGGTATAATTCCTTGTTCTATTAGCCACAAATGTCTTCCATCTGTGTGGAGATCAATTTAGCCAATTTAACACGACCATTGAGTCGCACCATGCGAATATTGTTGGTTTACTGACAGTTGTAAGGATGGATAATACAAATTTTGCTAGATCAGCCAGAAGTACGGCACCACACAGCTCTAGACGTGGCAATGAAGTTGTTTTCAATGGAGCTACTCTAGATTAGCAGAAATAAAACTTATTTTAATTGTGTTATTAGGTAAAATACATCTTAGATACGCAACCGCACAGTAGCCGACAGATGAGGCATCGGAGAATAAATGGAGTTCGACTGCTTCATAATCGGATGGCATAATCAACCGAGTAAACCTCAATTGTGATAGTTGTGGTAATTGAAGTTTGAACTGGTGCCAACGATTTTGAATGTCGTCAGATGGTACATCATCCCAGTCCACCCTTGCCAACCACAATTGTTGCATCAGACGCTTAGCAGCAAGAATACAAGGCGTGATAAAGCCGATGGGATCATATTATATTCTTGCAATGTTTGACAAAATTGAACTTTTAGTGCAATTTGTTTCTCTAGGGACGTATGAAAACCCAAATGTATCATCTTGAGGATCCCAATGGAGACCAAGAACCTTAATAAAACCGTCTTCTCGGTTATCCAATAAAACTGGAGTACCATGTTGGAATACGTGTGGTATCCATGTGGGTATACGACGATCTCCGGTAAATATATGCGGAACCAATTCTGCCCCCAAAAGAAGATCGATAGAGTCTGGAGATGTTTGGCTTCGTGGAATTGTTAAATCTCGAAGATGAGAGTATCTAGAGATGTCAATCGCCGTTCTGGGTTGATAGGAACATATATTTTCAGATATAACGGCTGTAAAATTTAATATTGGATGATGGCTGTCATATGGCTTAATAATACATTCAACGGACCCGCTATTGCAATTTGACTGCATGTTGTTCAACCCTTCAATCATAACTGATCGAATGCCTTTTGTAAGTTGTAAAGTTTTTTGTAAATTTTCAATTCAGCTACAGGTAGAACTACGGTGAGCATGGTATTCACAACAGAGCCAACGGTGTTATTTGAATGAATAGAATTACTTTTAGATGACTGGTTTTGAGAAACCTCTGGACGGTCTAAATGCAATAACGTATGATGGCGCCTTTTGCAGGTTCGACAAGTATTTTTTGAGATGCATTTGCTTGTTGAATGTTGATCTCCCAGACAATTTTTGCAAAGATTATGCTTATTGACATGCTCAAATCTTTGTTCTGGCGATTTATCATGAAATTTTGGACATTTGCATAAATTATGATCATCATTACACAACGAACACGCAAAATGAGTTTGTTTGAATTTTATTTCGGTAGCAAAACTTGATGGATTGAGCTTAGAAGCGAATTTCACATCTTTGGAATTTGATGTAGTGAGTTTAGCGGAGTCCAGAGCTTTAGCATGGCTTTCAAGGAAGGTCATCAATTGTTGATATGTGGGTATCTGAAAATTGCGATGTTCGAACTCAAACTGAGTTTTTGTAGTCATATCAAATTTTTCGAGCAAAATACTAAACAACAAAAAATCCCATTTATCTACGGGAAATCCGAGTGACTTCAATCCTTCGAAATTTTCTGAAAAGGTATCAGTCAACAATCGAAAAGCCTTTGATGTGTTATCTTGTTTAATTGTTAAGTTCTGTATCTCGTTATAATAAATTGTTGCTAATTGTCTCTTGTTCTGATAGTGGTTTTTTAAGGTTTCGAATGCAATTGAATAATTGGCATCTGTCATGGGTAACCCTTTGATAAGATTAAACGGCTCTCCGGACAACGACGTCAATAAATATTGATACTTAGCAACATCTGACAGTGAAGTGTTTTCGTGCACCATCGTTCTGAATAAGTCGTAAAAACTGGGCCATGCTTTATAATCTCCGGAAAAAACCGGAAGGGTGATTTTGTTTAATTTAGGAGAGGCAGCGGTAATATTAAGGTGGGCGTTTTGGATCGCATCATTGCGATTTTTAATATCATAATAGATTGCCTTGATAGAATAATATGCGGAATCGGCTTGACGACGTACCTGATCGTGTGTATCGAAAACATCATCTTTAATTAAACCAATAATTTCATTATGGATTTCCTTAAATTTGCTATAGGGATCGTCACAATCAAGAGCGGGAGCAATAAAAATTGATTCTTGGTCTGGATGATCTTTTAAATTGCGGCCGACGCCCATTGTTTCCATCAATCTATTCAGAAATATACCACGGATCAAGACGAGTTTATCAATATTTTCATCGGCAGACATGATGATGAAAATAAACAATTAACAAGATAAATAAATTTAAATTTCAAAAATGAAAATGTTGAAAAGACAAGAATATGTGAACGCCAGATGTGGAAAGTGTGCAAAAAATGCGAATGCGAACGGGTCGTGTGATGAGATGAACACGTAGCGCGTGGATAATAGCGATAATGCGATGTAAATGGTTAAATAGATAATTAAATGAAATAAAATTGATATGAATCCGGCTCGAAGGACCATTAATTTGTTCGCACGAATAAGTCGGCGATTCAAAAGAAGGTGCTGGTCACACCAAAAAATTTAAGAAAAAATAAATGAAAAAGATGAATAATTAAATATAATTATATTGATTAAAAAAAATAATAAAAACTAAATGAATATCGTTAAAGATGAAGAAGAAAATATATATCGGTTGGTTAACGTACCAAGAAACGATGTAAAAAATTGGGCACTACGACTCACACCAGAGAACTAACGATTGACTCTTCGATGTCACCATCGATCGTTTATTGATCTTAAGAACGACCTCTTCCGGGTGAAGAGGTGAACAAATACAAAATAAAATATGTGAATTTAAAGCGGAGCGAACAAATAATTTCTACACATTAATAATTATAAAATAAAATTAAAAGAAACTTAAAAAAAAGCTTATAAAGAAGAAAAAAATGTAAATTAAATTAAGATAAGTTAAATTAAGAAATTTGTAGAGAAATACGGCTCAATAGATGCAATAGTAGAATAGGCAGCAAAACCTATGGTTTCACTTGCACCAATGACAAAAGAACGAAAGAAAAAATTCTTTTTATTTGACCATATAATGTGTCTATACCGGTATGAAACAAATTTATCTACAACAGCCCGGTTGACTCCTTCGTTCTTTGTACGTCTGCCCAAGCTATTTTACAACATAGTATCATCTGCTAAAGTTTGTCAAGNTGTGAGTGGGAATACCGGCACATCCACCCCTCCTATTTTTAACGAAAGACCACAAATGATCAGGGCGCTCAATCAAATTTTCTTGGACCGAGCGCAAGTACTTCTGATAGTCAGATTTAATCAAAACTTTAGAACGTTTACGGAGAATAGTAAAAGACAAATAATAGTTATTGTTGCCAAACCTCTTCCAATTACGATGAGCTTTAAGTTTCTCACGAATGACTCTTACTGTGGATGGAGAATACCATGGTGGAAAACGACATTTAGACACGGGTTTATGCGGAACATGAGTGCTGACGAGATCGTTAACCGCATCATAGAAGGCTCTAACAACTTCGTCAATCACACGACCATCAAATCGTTCCGACCAGTCGATCGCGCAAAGAGCATCGTTAATCGCTACATAGTCAGCTTTGTTATAAAAATATTTAATTGAAGGACCATCATGAAAACAACGCAATTGAACGTTGACAACAACAAATTCAATGGCGGGGTGGTGACGATCCGGCTTAACCAACGGATCCGGACAACATTTAATTTCCCGTACAGTGTCAATGTTACACAAAATGAGATCAAGTATTCTAAAGTTTTCGTTGTATAAATGGTTAAATTTATAATTAATTTATTGTCATCAATAAATGGTGCTAGCTTCCTATATGACTTCGAAATGGGTTTGTTTGTTTGTAGATTTTTGTATAAGTCCCCAAAGTGCTCTATTTGGACCTGTCGAGCAATAATCAGAGCCGAGCAGAGCCCGTTGTTGTTCAAGTTCAGAGATTGTTACAGAATAAAATTGCTCTTTATTACGACAACCTGAAGGTGTGTCCAGACATTGCGCGGCATTCGCGCTCGGCGTGCCGCGCATATGCCGCGTAGCACTGCCGCGCACACGTTATTTGAATACGTCCAAACTGGCGCGCGCAGAATTGTGTCCGACGAACGCCGCGCACCTGCCGCGCTATGTCTGGACACACCTTTAAACAAATCGCAAGACATAAGATATAATATTTTTTATCTAATCCAAATTGGAAAATTGATTTAACAATGTAAGTAGAAAATTCTGAGGTTTTTTGAGTACAGTTCCCAATGTATTTTGGTTTTCCTCCTCGGCGATCTCTTCAGAGCATATGTTGAACGATTGCGACGGCCAATGAGAAGGTGATAGTGCTAACCATTCCGGTCCATGCCACCACAACCCACAATGAACCATCTCCATCTCCCATTGGAAGAAGTCCTCTAGATCCTGGATCCGCAGGGTTCTCCGAGGATGGTACGTAATGCCAATGATGCCCTGGTAAAATTCCTTGTATATGACTTGTTCTATTAGCCACAAATGTCTTCCATCTGTGTGGAGATGAATTTAGCCAATTTAACACGACCATTGAGTCGCACCATGCGAAGATTGTTGGTTTACTGACAGCTGTAAGGATGGATAATACAAATTTTGCTAGATCAGCCAGAAGTACGGCACCACACAGCTCTAGACGTGGTAATGAAGTCGTTTTCAATGGAGCTACTCTAGATTTAGCAGAAATAAAACTTATTTTAATTGTGTTATCAGGTAAAATACATCTTAGATACGCAACCGCACAGTAGCCGATAGATGAGGCATCGGAGAATAAATGGAGTTCGACTGCTTCATAATCGGATGGCATAATCAACCGAGTAATCCTCAATTGTGATAGTTGTGGTAATTGAAGTTTGAACTGGTGCCAACGATTTTGAATGTCGTCAGATGGTACATCATCCCAGTCCACCCTTGCCAACCACAATTTTTGCATCAGACGCTTAGCAGCAAGAATACAAAGTGTGATAAAGCCGATCGGATCATGTATTCTTGCAATGTTTGACAAAATTGATCTTTTAGTGCAATTTGTTTCTCTAGGGACGTATGAAAACCCAAATGTATCATCTTGAGGATCCCAATGGAGACCCAGGACCTTAATAAAACCGTCTTCTCGGTTATCCAATAAAACTGGAGCACCATGTTGAATGTCATCAATGTTTCTCATCAATTCAGATTCGTTGCTTGCCCATTTAGCGAGCTCAAAACCACCCAGCGATAACAATGTTATAAGTTGTTGTTGTAGATTTAAAGCATCTTGAAGTGATACACTGCCCGTAACGATATCATCGGCATATGTGTCGTGCAACAACGTGTGCGAGGCCGCAGGATATTGATCTGCATATATTTTTGCAAGCTCTTGGATGGTTCGTAGTGCCAAATATGGGGAAGATGAGATACCATAAGTTACAGTGTTCAATTGATATTCACTAATATTGTCATGAGGAGAATTTCTCCAAATTATGCGTTGATAATTGCGGTGTTGTGGATGAATTAGAATCTGACGATACATTTGTCTTATGTCACAAATAAATACGACAGGTAAACATCGGAAATTAACGAGAATAGAAACTAAATCGCTTTGAAGCTTAGAACCAGTAATTAGAAGATCATTAAGAGAGTGTCCATTATTAGTTTTGGCTGAAGCATCGAATACAACTTATGAGTGCCGATGTGGTACTGTGGCCTGGTCGGAAACCAGATTGATAGTCTGTAATTAGTTTATGCTTATCAAGGTACTCCTGCACTTGATTGTACACCAAGCGTTCAAGTGCCTTAGATAATACGGAAAGTAGCGATATTGGCCGAAAATCACTTAGGCGAGTAGGGCACTTAATCTTAGGAATGGGAACAACGCAGGCCTGTATCCAAATTGCAAGAAAGGTCGAAGACTCTATGGACAAATTAAAGATATGAAGTAATGGTGGAGTAATTATGTCCAAGATGGGAAGGAGTTGCCTAACACTAACATCGTCAGCACCAACACTTGTAGAGCGCGTTTTTGCAAGAGCGTCCCGAACCTGAGACTCATCAAACATGGTGAAGGAAAACCGAGAATTGACGAGAGCAGAACCACTGATAGTGAGCAATGTTGATTTCTTGATTGATTCGTCGAGAGTA